TATATATATATATATATATATATGTGTGTGTGTGTGTGTGTGTGTGTGTGTGTGTGTTTGTGTGTGTTTTATATTACAAAATGTTTAAAAAGCATGAGACATCACGGAAACAAAAACTTGCTATAGATTCTTATCGACAAATTAATAAAGAAGGAAAAAGAGAAAAAATGACTATTTTGCTCTTTCTAAATAGTATGTTTATTGAGATAGGTGAAAAATTGTATGAAAATAAGAGTTAAAGTGAGAAGTGTAATAAATACGAAGCGATAATTAAGAGTGCAATAGCTCCTCTTATCTTTAGATCCAAAGCGGAACTGCAAGCGCTTCTCTCCAAAGGGATTATCGTTAATGGTGGCAAAACGGTAAATGGATATTTAACCATTTAGGTTGTGGGGCACTGATAAAGGCGTAGGGATGTAGTGCAAAATCTCATTTATCCGGGTTCAAATCCATGCGCTGCCAAAGGCCTTGTGGTCATCGAGGTTCACCTGCGATGACTCAGGCCATTTGTGGTTGGTCGTCTAGTATGCATAAGCTGCCTCAGAAACCCAAACCCCTGGTTACCAAAAAAAATCTCGCAACACTAAAATCCATCCTTAATTTATTGATATTTTCCTTAATTTACGTATTTTATATGTTGAAAAATAAAGAGATTTTAGTGTACTCATCCAACATCAATTCAACTAATTTGAACTTTTTTAATGGATAGTGGTTTTCGCTAAATAAGAATGGAGAACATTGTGAAATGATATCATCAATAGAATTTATTCCTCTACTGCATCATCCATGTGAGTTTAGAGAGGATTCAAGGTGACATGGTCCTCCCTCTTGTTTTTATATATTTGATAATTTAGTAAAATGAAGGTTTTGTTCTATATATATGGCCTCAAATATATTCTTTATAATGTTCTCTTAAATAGAGAAAACATGAAAATTCTATAAGTTTAGAGAATTCTCTAAAACATAAACATTTTATTCAATTCCACCGATGAGATTGAATTGTTATTATTTTATATAAATTTTTTTAAAGGTGTATCAAGATGATAAAATTAAAAAAAAATATGTTGAGATCTCTGAAACATAGAGGATTGGTTGGAGTTGAATGTCATGTTTTTTAGAGGCTTGTTCTTTACTTTAAAAAAATTACAAAAAACCTGTTTGAGATGCTAATCCATGCTGCTTCTTCATGTAGATTTCCAGAGTTCAATTTAGTACCACTTGGTAGGGGTGCTCACGGCCCGGGTTGATCGGGTTGGAGCCGTTTTAACAACCCAACCCAATGTTGGCGGTTTGAAAATTTTCAACCCAACCCAACCCAAACAAAAGTTCAACCCAACCCAACCCAACCCG